AGATGAGGTCTCGCCAAGTTGCCCAGGCGGGTCTCGAACCCGCGGGCTCAGGCAATCCTCGCCTCAGCCTCCCAAAGGCGCGGGATTACAGGCTGAGCCACCGAGCCCAGCTCAGCTCCCATTTCTAATTGGCAAAGGCTCCCTGGCACCTTCCATTTCAACCCGAACTCCCTGGCCTGGCATTCAAGGCTCTGACCACTTTGCTGGTCTCATCTTCCATCTTGCTACCCCTTGCACCGTCAATCAGCCAGGGTACTTGTGGTTCCAGGGGTCAGTCCAGCTCTCTCACTGGGCCTGCCTGGCTGCCTGTCCAGCTACCCCAGCCTGGCCTGGCACAGAGCAGGCATCTGAGATGCTTTTATTGAGAAGCAAATGAAACCACCTCGAAAATGCAATCTATGCAACTGCTGTGACTTCCCAGAACCCACTTGGAGTTATAGACCTGAGGGTCTCACCCTGGTGGCCTTCCTGCAGCATCCCTCGGGAGAGCTGAGGTGTGTGGGGGGGTCACCTCATCATTTCCTGTTCTCTTCTAAATTTACTTTTTTTTTTTGGGTTGGAATCTCACTCTGTCGCCCAGGCTGGAGTGCAGTGGCAAGCTCACAGCCATCGCAGCCTCGACCTGCTGGGCTCCGGCAATCCTTCTACCTCCGCCTTCCAAGTAGCTGAAACTACAGGTGCGTGCTACCTCCCCTGGCTAATTTTTTTGATTTATTGTAGAGATGAGGTTTTGCCAAGTTGCCAAGGCTGGTCTTGAACCCGTGGGCTCAGGCAATCCTCTCGCCTCGGTCTCCCCAAGTGCTGGCATTATAGGTGTGAGCCACTGCACCTGGCTTTTTTTTTTTTTTTGAGTCAGGGTCTCACTCTGTCACCCAGGCTGGAGTGCAGTGGCATAGATAGGCATGGCTCACCACAGCCTTGACCTTCTGGGCTCAGGCGATCCTTCCACCTCAGCCTCTCAAAGTGCTGAGACTACAGACATGAGCCAGTGCACCTGGTCACTCCCCTGAATTCACTTTAACCTGGGACACCGCAGGAACAGAGCCTGACAGCCACTCTCAGGTGGGCACAGACCCTCTCCCACAGTCTCATACTCTCGTCTCCCCTAACTCGGCAAAAAGGCAACCCCGTCATGCCTTTCGCCTACCTCTGTGCCCAGATTCCATTTTGAGCACTCTGCATGTAAAGCAGCCGACAGTGGGAGCAGGGGAGGGACGGACAGGAGGGCTGAAGGTCAGCATGCTGTGTGCTTGTCCTACTCCATCTCTGAGGCCTTCCAAGGGGCACAGCCTCTGAGGGGTGAGGGTGAAACTGAGGCCTGGGGGCAACGTCTGGGGCTCAGACACCTTGACAAGGGGAAGGGGTGTGTACGGGGGCAGCAAAACAGAGCTCCGCCCAGCCTCAACCCAGAACCTCCCTCTGCTCCTGTCAGAGTGGAAGTAGGGCTTGTACTTGGCCTGGCATAGACTCCCAAGCACCAGGACACGGGGGCAGAGGGTCCAGCCACACTGAATCGAGATGCTGAAAGCCCAGGCAGAGGGATGCTCTCCTGAGTGCTGAACTTGTCTCCCTCCCTTTCCATGGGGGCCCTCGGGGATGCTGCCTGGTCACTTCCTGGTGATTTTGCATGTAGAGACTAGGTAGCTGGAGCAGCGAGGCCTTGGGAGCTGCCCGAGGGTGCCGGTGCCAGGCCACTCCTGGGCAGGGGGACCGTGGGTCTGTGTCCCAGGTTGGGGGGCGGAGCTGAATGGGGAGATGGAGAGGAGAAGGTTGGCCCGGCAGGAACAAGATGCTCCTCGGAGAGACCACCGAGGGCGGGCTGGGTGCGGGGGCTGCCGGCGGGCCGTGTCTCTAGGCCACTTCCGAGTCTCCGTCAGAGCTGGGAACTCCAGCCACCCTCTGTCCAATCCCCCAAGGGACGTCCCGCCCCACCGCCCTGTCCACCCGCCCGGGGGCCTGCCCAGGGACACCGTCTCTCTCCTAGCCAGGGCCCAACCCCTCATCCTGGCATTCGGGGCCCCAGGAGTTG